ACTTGGTCGTCAAGTATGCACTCATGTTTCTGAACAAGATGCTATCTACAGCCTTGCAAGGGAATATTGCTCTTTGGACCTCCAGGTACTGGCAAAACAATGCTTGCAAAAGCTGTTGCTACTGAGGCTGGTGCAAACTTTATAAACATATCAATGTCAAGCATTACGTCAAAGGTATCACTGATATCTGCTTTCTGTTGTTTTATATCTGACTGGCCCTTCTTAAAATGGTTGACAACTTTTTCTTATCAGTGGTTCGGTGAAGGAGAGAAGTATGTCAAAGCAGTCTTCACGTTAGCTAGTAAAATAGCGTCTAGTGTTGTTTTTGTTGACGAGGTTGGTGACATTTTCTGCAGCTATTGCTGGGCTAAGCTTTTTTCCTATATAGATTACAAAGCTAGGTTTTCTTTTTTCACACCCTAAAAAGTTATAAAGTTTTCTTTACACCGTTCTTTGTTTATATTGTCCTTTTGCCTCCATTTCTTCTTGTCTACTAGGTGGATAGCATGTTAGGAAGACGAGAAAATCCAGGAGAGCATGAAGCTATGCGAAAAATGAAGAATGAATTCATGGTAAATTGGGATGGTTTGCGTACAAAAGATAAGGAACGAGTGCTTGTGCTTGCTGCAACAAATAGACCCTTCGACCTTGATGAAGCAGTTATTAGGAGGCTTCCGCGCAGGTAAAATTTGAATAAATTATTTCCTTATGATTTGTGTAAGTGTAACTGATTGATCAATGATTGATTTTTAAATGATTTACGGCTACTGGTGCTCCAATGATTGATCAATACAGGTTGATGGTAAACATGCCAGATGCTCCAAACAGAAAGAAAATTTTAAGAGTGATATTGGCGAAGGAAGAATTAGCGCCAAATGTAGATGTAGAAGCTATTGCTAATATGACGGAAGGGTACTCAGGGAGTGATTTAAAGGTCTGGATCAAGATTACTTGCACTTCCTAATGCATTTGTTTTTGCAATACCTCCTTCAAAATAACTGCATTATTTTTAAATCTACATTTGATATCGTACTTACTGCTGTCTGAAATTTCCAATCCCAGAATTTATGTGTGACAGCTGCGCATTGCCCGATTAGAGAAATTTTGGAGAAAGAGAAGAAGGTCAGTTGCTTGAGTTCATTCTAGTTGTTCGTTATAATTCTGTGACCTTCCAACATTTGGTTGAATTGGTGACCTGGATCACAACATACAAAAGTGCTATTACTAATTTTGTTTGGAAGTCTTTTTGTTCTAGCTTCATGATGTGTTTCCTTTGGCGATGTCTTAAATTAATTAGTCATCGTCATCTCCTATGGAGTCTTTACACTTTAATCTGCTAAATTTATTGACTTATTGTTCTTTATTTTTGGTGATTTCAGGAGAAAGCATCGGCAGTTGCAGAGAACAGGCCAACTCCGGCATTGCGTAGTAGTGCAGACATCCGTCCACTTAACATGGATGATTTTAAGTATGCACATGAACAGGTACACAATTGCACGTACTGTGGTTAATCTGATTTTTGTGCCATGCATTCTACTTTCTCTGCAGAGTATTTGGGGTTCAGGAGAAATGTTAGTAGGCTTTATTTACTGCCAAGAAAAGTTTTTAGTAGGCTTTATTTACTGCCAAGAAAAGTTTGGGACTTTCTCATGGATCTTTCTGATATCACACTGTTGCAGATTTTCTAATCAAATTCTCTTTTGAAAATAAACAACTAATCCGCCTTAGATACACTTTCAAGATCGAATTTCTAGTTTGTAGTTCGTACCCAGGCACAAATCCACTTGCCAACTGATCTGAGTTTGAATTGGTGAACTAACGATCTACAATAAGGAGGCAGCTCCAGGAAGGTAGCTCTTTCATCCAGTTCCTTCAGTGGACTTGGGCTCCAAATCCACATCCACTTCACAACAAAGAAAGAGAATGCAGGGATCATAGAGGAAGGAATCGAACATCTCTCGTAACGTCAGATATATATGTACTCACGTGATTAGTTTTTATTTATTTATTCGATGGTGCGAGATACAGATTTGGGATTTGAGAGCTGTTGTCATAAAATTATGGGGTAAGTCATGTTGACTGGTTTGTTGAACTACTTCTCAGCAGCATGCAGAAGACTGAGAGATCAACAACATTCAACCAGTTAACACAACAAATCACATTGACTGGTTGAATGTTGTCGGTCTCTCGTGTCTTCTACATGCTACTGTGAAGTAGTTCAAAAAGGAATTTTGTTCATGTGATTGCACAAGAGACCACCACAACATTTCGGGGTTTCGATCAGCTAGTCTATATATGTAACTTGAAAGATCAATAGCTCCTCAAACTGATATAATCCTCTCTTAGCGAGTGGCTTTCTTTCATCACTGTTTCATGGAGAAATGATTCTCTATTTATGCTAGTGTATCTCCTAGTCAGCCACTAGTATAGGTACTTGTACCTTCACTGGCTGGCCTTTGCTTTTAAGCCACCAAGCTTCAATCTGATGATCAAATATAGTCTCAAATTCCACTAGTCTTCTCTTCTAGTCTGGTATACACAGTGGTTTCTTTAATTTTACGGAGCCTAATTATATGTGGTGAGTGTCCTAGTTCATCAGCTAATTGCTTTGGCCCCTATACAGAAAAAACACCATCTCCACGGTGGTGCATGACTGCTAATAATGTGGTAGGAGGATGTCCACTGGGTAAAGCCACTGTTGGGGGTCCGAGGAACTTGGGTTCTTAGTCTTGTGAGCTCAAATTCCAGTCTTTAGGCAGCTGATCTTGTTTGGTGCCTCATTTCAGTAAATTCTAGCGGGTCCACTTACATAAATCTATGCTCATCTCTTATCTTTGTTGTTATGCTTGCACACTTCAGTAGACCCTGTATCTGTAATGAAGAACTAAAGTTGAGTTCATGCTATCAGATGACCATCACAATTGGTGACTCCATATATAGCAGCTAATTCATTTCAGGTGGAATAGATAGCAGCTAAATTGATAACCTCAATCTAAATATCGTGTCCTTCTTGAAATGTTACTGCATAGGCGATGTAGATATCATGTTCTTATTGCAAGCTTTTGTATTTGACCTACCTGGATGACCAACCAGGAATCTTTGATGGTTTTGTACCAATTTGTGCAAATGAAATTGTTTCTTGTTAGCGTGGGGAAAAATGTTTAAGTACTACTACTTTCTTGGGCCCTTGCGTGTTTTTCTTGCTTTATCATCACTGTGGAGTATAGTTTGGTATAGTGTGTATGCATTTAGTTGATTCATGACTTGTTTATAGTGTGTATGCATTTAGTTGATTCATGACTTGTTTATGTGTCAATGAATGCAGGTATGTGCTAGTGTATCCTCGGAATCTTCAAACATGAATGAGCTTCTCCAGTGGAATGACTTATATGGAGAAGGTGGATCAAGGAAGAAAACATCTCTCAGTTACTTCATGTAGAGGAAATATGTTACTATATACCATTGGTTTATTTATTTTCCTGTTCTGCAACCCGAGATCGCAGTGGGACCTACATGGATAATCCATTTCAGGTTCCCCTCAGGCCATTGTGTATCATATTAGTTCATAGGATTTTATCTTAGCAATTGCTAGTCTTAATGAGTCTCTCAAATCTTGTCTTATCCAATTTTCTCCTTTGTAGGTCTCTTCTCTGTATATACGAGTTGACTAATTCAATAACTGTATTCTAATATTCTTTTTCTGTATTGAATATTGTATAGTTTGAATTCTTATGATGAAGCGGGCAAACTTGTTGGGGTTAACTGGAGGAGTAAATACAGACTATTTTATTGGCCTCCATATGTCTGTTCCGTTGAATGTTTCTATTTACTTTGGATAATATTTTGGCTTTGTTGAGTACTTCCACCACCTCAATAACTGGCCTCTCTCACGGGATTGTCCGCAAATGCTTTCATCTGCGAATTGTGGTCACGTCTTGGCATAAGGTCATCGACATTCCTGGACTAAAGCTAGTGCTAAAGTTAATTTGTGTTTGTATTACTGGGACGACTATTTAGGAGCCTGTGTGAAGCTCTCTCCTATTAATCTCCTATTAATTGTTAGGTGAGATTTTGTTATGGTTCCCCATTCATTCCCAGTTGGTCATTGTTTCTCCTCTGGGTGGTTGCCATGACCATAAATTTCATAACTGATACTGACCTGTCACAGTCAAACTGACATTGTCTAGCTGGATTTGCGTGGTTTCATTTTGCTGTATTAGTATCAGCTAGCTCTCTGCTTTGACCAATAGATCTTAAGGTACGCTTATTTAATGTTATTTTTATTATATATTTGTGTTGCTTTCCCTCTTCCTTTCTTAATGTTACGGTTGACAATTGTAATTCTACTTAAATTTTCCAAGGTCATCAGTTTAAGCAATTAGAGAGCGGGCAGTTAAGCTTGATATCTTGTTAGAATTTTGTGACTACTTCATTTAAATGCTTTGGTTATTAGAGGGTGCAATTTAATTACTTAGTAATGTCTTCAGCACCAATGTTTGCATAAAGTACGGAAAATGTTGATATTTCAAGGGAAAGTATTCTCCGTTTTCTAAAGTGTATAGTTTTCTTGATGCCATATTCACTACTTATAGATGAATAAAGATCTCAACGATCATGGCGGAGCTAAACAGAAATTAGAAATCGTATTGGAAACTAAGTAAACAATGGGGAAAGTAAAAGAAAAGTACAAAACTTCACAAGTCACAAACTAAGATGGTTCAGTGCGGTCGAAGAAGAGGACTAAAGTCGAGTCTGAAATTTGGCCTTTATGCCAACCTGGAAAGGTAAATTGCGGAAGAGAAAGGAACAAGTGATTTAGCAGTGCGCAAAAGGACCTTTAGGTTACAACTTGTGATTACTAGTATAATTGTAATTGTTGTATTTAGCCACTTGATTTTTCCCAACTCCCCAGGGCTTTTAGGTTAATTTGTATGATGAAGTAGAATACCACTTGGGATTACACAAATAGCAGGCCAAATTTACTGTTTACTTTTTCTAGTCGGTGTACAAAGATTATACACATATTATATATGAATTTTACATATATTATACATCCGCCGGATTATTTTTAGTTTAAGAAATTAGGTGGACTACTATTTGAGGTTAATTCTTCATATTTCTATTGCGGAGTAATGCCACGACGGTTAAATTTTTGGGATAAGAAGAAATTACCAGAGTTTGTGTCTATTTCCTTTCACATAGGTCATAATAGAGTTGTTTGACCAAGTTTTTGGCAAGCTAAAAGTACTTGTTTATGATTGAATAAGGATTGTGGTGGAGTGATAAGTATCTTTTATCCTTAACTAGAATCTCGGGTTCGGCCTAAGCATGGAGTTTATCTTTGCTAGGTTGCGCTTTACTCGGAATGTGGAACATTTCAGTGCATATTTGCATTTTATTGGATGTCAGTCAATACGAATACTAGACACCAAATGAAAAACAAACAAGAAAATATTTTTTGTGAAAATTTGAGGTTATTTGGCCAACAAAAAAGTATTTTTGAACTGCGCAGTTATTCTGTCGTTGAAAAAAAACTAGAAGCAGAAGTAAAAAATTTATTCTTCAAAATAAAAAATATTCTTATCAATAACTTTCATTTGGAAAAGTACCTCTTCATTTCAACAAGAAAATCAACCATTAAATTTGGCCTCTTCCTCTTTCATTGTATGCGTTTTTTTCGTTATCTCTTCAACTCTTTTTTTGTGCTAATCATATCAAATCTCAAATAAAAGATGAAATATTTTAATTAAGTAAAACTGAAAAACTTAATCAAAGTCTCTAAAATTAAATCACTAAAAATTATTTTCTAAGATAATATTAAGCAAATGCGTACATCTCCTTCCTAATGTGACTTAAAAATTGGTTAAACACAACCATAAAATCTGCATGTAATAAAGGGGTTGGCCAATCGAAATATTTCCACGAAGTTCTACATTCTATATTAAAATTACTTTTGTGTGAAATAATTATAGTGTTTGACCTGAAATTTCTTCCGTCTCAATTGTTGACCGCTTCTAATATTCTCTTTTCTTCTATCAATCTCGTCTTTAACCCCAATCCTTTGAGGTTTGTATAAGCTTGAGATTTAGAGCACCTTGTCTCTACTAAATAACTTTAGTATTAAGACGTAGTTAATTAATCAATTGATTGATTGGTATATAATGGGGTTCGTATGTTTTCTCTTTCTTAATTGAAAAAACTGAAACAGCGGGGCGATTTTGAGGGGCGCAAGTTAGCAAAGATGGGGACGATGTCTCATTCATCTACTTTCCTCCTCCCAAATCTTCCTACCGACAACGGACCTGCTCTAACGTATGCGCTTGTTATCCTTAACCAACACCTCCCTCGATTCACTCCTTTGCTCTGGGAGCACGGTAATGGTCCCTGCGCCTTCCTTTTTTCAACCTTTTTTGAACTTCTCTAATGGTGACATATGTTTGTTGTTTAGAGCAGCACAGGTTCATGTTTGCGCTGACGGTGGAGCGAATAGGGTGTTTGATGAATTACCCCGCTTTTTTCCTCATGACGACCCTTCTGATATTCGTAAGAGGTGATTCTGAATTCACTTACCAATTGCTCTTGTTACTGATTATACGTAGCAGCTTGTTGTTGGTTCATTCTTCAATCTCTAAACTTGTTTGCAAATTGGCAAAATAATAAGGAATAAAATCACAGGCGGAGCCACGATTTCAAGCTTATGAGTTCGAGATTCTTATCGTTTTAAGTTGAATATATATAAATTAATAATTTATACATATTCAATGGATTTTTTAAGACAAATACAAGGTTCGAACCAAAGCTATTGGGTTCGGCCGAACCCTCTCCCGGCACTCTAGCTCCGCCTCTGAATAAAATCGGGATTTATATAGGGCAAAGTATTTACTTTTTTCCACCATTTCGAGAAAAGAAAAATCTACTTTAAAAAAATAGTATATATTAGTAGCTTTGAACTCTGTGAACTTGTTTAGGTTTGCTACACTCCCCTCACGTGGGCCTTGGTATGTTTTTTCTTGGATCAGAATGTGCAAAAGGAAACTAAAACTTGGATTTTTGCTGGAGGAAAGAATGAGTTAATAAGTTACTATTTGAAAATTTTCATGCCATATTAGTAATCCAAGCATAGACAAATACTGAGATTCAAGTTTGAGTTGTAAGTGAGTTAAAACACATGCAGACAATATGTAAAAGCATCGGGATTTCTCTTTTTCTTTTTTGGGCTAAAACACGATTTCTTAATATTCGAAATTTTTTATTTTGTCGTCTTAGATTGAATTTGAGTGAACCATGATTTTTTTGCAGGTACAAGCCATATGCTATAAAAGGAGATATGGATTCAATCAGAACTGATGTTCTCGACTTTTTTAGAGGTCTGGTAAGCTAGAGCTTGCTTGTGATGGTTCTGTAGTTTCTTAGCAAATCTGTTTTCCAATAAATTTTAAAAGCATCCACATTTTTATATTTGTGAAGGGATAAGTGTAAGAAAACATCTAGTTTTGGAGAATAACTAATTTGCCTTAAAAGATAGAATATTTAGTGTTGAAATGAAATGGAACCTGAATGGTGCGGCAGAATAGATACATTGGATTGATGTAGATGATCTCAATTAATTTGGATTGAGGCAGTCCTGATTGATATATACTTACAAGTCTCCCTTATTAGTATGATTTATCCTACTTTGAATTGAATCATCACTTTATGTTAAATGCCGACCTCCAGGGACGTCAACCTTCAAAGAATTTGATGTTTGACCTTACCGAAAGAATCTGGTGTTTGAACCCTTGGCCTTACAGAACCTTTGTGGTGGATCTTCTTTGATATGTAATGGAGTGGAGCTTCATGTGACAGTTTACTAAGTGTATGGTGTGTTAAGAGCTTCCCTATCTTTCACCTTATCCGAGAGTGAAAAATTTGTTTACAGTATAGTTGAGTTGTGCAAATATATTCTTGATTCTGGAAGAGATTCCCACTTTGTTAAAACCTTGTGGTTTCCAAATATATTGTCGAGTTCAAGTTTTTGCCCTGTGTACGAGCAATTACCACACTTCTACTTACTAAATTTTGTGTAAAGATCAAGAGAATAATATCTGGTCGTGTTTAAATTCTTTCTAATGTAGTATGTAATTAAACTTGTGCATTTTTTCATTTTCAAGCATGTTAGTGAGGATTCTGACTATATATGTATATCATTTCAGTTACTAGATAGTTATTACACTTTTGGATATAATTAGCAATGTGGCTCAAGATCGTTCTTTGCCGTCTTGTTCTTGTGCAATATGTTTGTGCAGTTCATTACAAAGCATGGTTCGAACTATATTTTGAAGATGTATAGCTTGGTGACTTTGCATGGGACCAAGATAATTGATGAATCTCATGATCAAGATACCACAGATCTTCATAAATGTGTTGCATATATTCGTGAATTACTAAACCCAGAACATCCAAATGTAAGTTAAGCTTTTTAACATAGCTCTGGAAATTTTTACCCTTTTCCATGTTTATTAATATGCTATATTCTAATTTATATCCATTAAAAATATCTCTACACCAAATAATTGCTCAAATTATATCTGCATCTTTTCACTGTGGGATATTTGTGCTCTAATTGTTTCTTATTTATGATTATTGCTAATAATAGGATATTATTCATTTAGAATAGATATTTGAAATAAACAATTCATTAGAAAATCTTTCACATGGTGGATCAGATGTATTGCTTATTCGTCATTATTCAATCTGGGTTGGTATAAGCTTCATTTATTGCTTCTTTTACTCATTCCTTTAAAATGAAATTGAAAGTGGATACCAGGGACACCATTGCATGCACAATCTTCAAGAAAGTGAGGATATAAAGTGGCAAGGTAAAGTAATCATCAATAAATTCAATAAAACCCTTTTAACCTATTCCTTGTTATCCCCTCAAATTTGCTACGTGAAAAAACCCTTCTATCCAGATCTAAAAATAATTCAAGAAATATTTTGTGATTATGAATCAGAATATGATGAAGAAGAGGCTTTTGAAGAGATTAGTAAAGAGTTAAT